TTTAATAAGATCAAACATTTCATAATAATCAATTCTTCCTTGTTTCTATTGCAAGAATTTTCTAAATAATTGTAAAAAATCATAAACTCACCATTTACACTTGAAATTTATTTATAGTTTGTTTAAGTATAAATACTCTCTCTCTAATTTAGCAGAAAATAAATAACAATCATTATTTCAAATTCTAAAATTTAGTATCATTTTTTGGCCATTATTTCTTTTAAATATCAATTAAATTATTATTGCTATTGTCCTGATTCCTGAACTTAAAACACATTTAAATTCTTCTTTTTTATAAGCGGTTATGACGTAACTTCAAAAAGAATTAGATTGTAATAATATTATACATTTTTCACCCAGTCACTCAAAGATTTTGAATCTTTTTTGAAAAAATAAGACTTTACAGAATGCTGTCGTAGAAAGAGGTAAATTCTAATTTTAAGGTTATTAAAAGTAAGGATTAAAATGTTAAAGTCTTAAAATATAGTGGGTTAAAATCTGAAATAAAAGGAAACTAATATTTGATAAAATTTATTTGCCTTTTCTACTTTTTAGATCCGGAAATAAAAGTTATTTTTAATCACATTAAAGTTTCGCCCTTATCATTCTAAATTCTAGATAAAATGATCACACAAGCCAATAAAGAAATGATATTTCAGAAATGCCTCTATTCTAATCTGCAAAGGATTATGAAAATTCTTAAAAAAAATTAACTCATAATTGATTTTAAATCGAAATGCGGTGGGGTGTTTGAAAGGGATTAAGAACCTTAATTAAATATATGATAGGGCCTGTTAAATTGATATCAAAAAGTTGCTAATACCTTGAGATTAAACTGATATAGAAACTTTATTGGAACTAAGATTGTTAAAGATAGTATGAAGAAAATCCATTAAATATAAATATTACATAGACATAATTCTATTGAATTAAGAAATAAACATTCCTTATAATTAGGAGCTAATCTTCTTCTATTATCAAATTTCACTATATTTAAGATCTATAAATTTTCTCCAAAATCTAAATTAATCTAAAATTCTTCTAAGATTAAAAGAACCTGTTATTGATCTACCCCATAATGTATTGTAAGATCTGATCCTATCTTTTTCTCAAATTATTCATTTTTATCAATCCAAGTGAATTAAAAGCTAAAAACAAAAAAATTTTCAACTTCTATTTAGAAAAACTAAGAGTTTGATTGGGTTTATTAATACTATAAGTAAGGAAAACATTATTTTATAATCATTCTCAAAATTTTCTTGTTTTCAAATGATTTTATTATAAAGCTGAGAATCTTTTCATAATATGAGTATTTCGAAGCCAGCAGAATTATTTTTAGATAAAAAATAGATTCTTTTGTATAATAGAAATACTTTTAAAGTATTTTAAGAAGTTTGGAAAGTTCAGTGAAATGTAAGAATGTTTTTTTTGTGAATCATCTTATGTATAAGTTACTTATTTTGTTAATAAGGTAAATTATTAATCTTTTTTTAATTAATGGATATGATATAGACTTTGAATTCAAATCTGAAAATTGGCTGAAAGGTGATAATTTGATAAATAGTTTATGTTCTGTTTCTCCAAACTATTCAAATTTACTATTACCAAATACTTGAATTACTACAAGTTTTGATATTTTGTATAAAGTTAAAGAAACTTAATACAATATTTTTATATCTAAAGAATAAGATACTAATTATTCATAAGAATAGAATAAATTGAAAAGCAAAGAAATTAAAGAAATAATAAAAACTAAAAATTATATTGAGAATGGGATCAAAAAAAAGAAGATTTTTGAGCAATCAGAAAATAAAACAACCTAAAAGGAATAGAACCAGACCAAAGCCAGGATTATTAAATTTTTAATAACGAGAAAATAAAAATAGATCCATAATCATTTCTAGTTATATCGTGAGTGGTAACAGTAATAGTTATTAATTAGATTTTCGTCAACAAATTAGCATTAAAATATTTATTTCTATTATTTCAATTATAATCTGATTATATAAATTGACTCAAGATTAACCAAAAAATTTTCTTTGTTTCCATATTGTTATGTGACAGTTCTTTGTCTTTCAGATTTTTTAATCCATCCCAGTGTCTTTTAGATAGATACTGCTAATCATATCAGAATTCGATGACGAATTTCAAAGTAATCAAGAGGGTATATAAAAGAAGATTTAGTTATTTTTAATAAATTTGATTCCTAAAAAGTTAACGTCTTGAAATAATTGTTTTGCTTATCTGAAAAACAACTTTTATAATTTCAATAAAAGTAAGATGATTAATTTAATATTGATATGAATATTAAATAGTAATCTAAAGCTATTGTAATTCTCTAACAGATTTATTAGGTAAAACTATAAATGATAAATAATGAAGATCTATTGAAATTTAGAGACGTATTTTCTGTTGTATAATTTATAAAATACTTTTGGAATTTTATTTCATCATTAAAACAATATCTATTTTAAAAGGGCCTTCAAAATGCTTGTAAGAAGACTTAGGGTAGAAGAGAAGTTAAATTTACAAATGCATAGCATAAATCAATAAAAATCATTAATTACTTCTACCGATTATTCATATAGGATCAATAAAATTTGCCTATTCCTTGTTTTCAATTTATCTAATCCTAGATTTGTATTTATAACAAAAATTTTTTCACAGAGATTAAATTATAACTCAAATGGAGGTTAATTTCATCGTAAATTTACATTAATTTATTCAAATGGTATAAAAAACAGTAAGAATATTTAAATAAATTTATATGAATATTTCTTAGAAGCGATTCAAAATTCTTATTCATTTATTTAGTAATGATACCTTGAATATACTCATCAATTTTAATATTAATATAATGATATCTTTTGACATCCAATAATATTTTAGATTAATATATTTAATCAAAATTATAATTGTGAAGTTTTTGTTGAGTCTAATTATTTTTTTATTTATTTTTTTACATTTTAGAAATCTATTTTTAATAATTAATTACTAAAACCCAAAGAAATTCAACTGTTTCAAATTTTTTTTAATTTTAAGGATATAATAATTATAAAATCCACAATATGCATTTTTAGGTTCATTATTAGATCCATAACATTCCCATTAAATAGTTAATGATGATGATTAATGTTGTATTCTTTCATATACTCTTTTTGTTTGAGATGAGCCCTTAAATGTAATAACAGGATTGTTTGATCCTATTTTATATATAAATTTACTATCTTATGGGAAGGATGGCCCAAATAATATATAAAATCCTATTGTTATACTATGATGTGGTTTAATAATCTTATGCACCCTAGAAAATTTGGCTTAAGCCCAAACTAATTCACCTCCAAAAATTAAGTTGGTACCATAATGGATAGAATATAAGATATCAGAACCTTTCATAAAATTTATCCCATTCTTAGAGATAAGAGTGTATTGTGAAAATTAATTAGGATCAATTGTTAAGTCATAGTATTCTTTAATAAAATATTTAGAATCTAAGAATATAGTATTTTTTACATGATGTTTCATCATCATAATCTTTACAATAAGAACCATCCAATTTTTGATATGGAGCTGTGCAAAGTATACATTAACCATCTCTGTATTTATAAAATGTTGGATAACATATTTTACATTCATTTGGTAATTCACATAGTTGACAATTATCTGGGCAATAGCCAGAAGTCAAAATTATTTGCTCGTATGCCCAAGTTGCTGAAAGATCAGTAGATATTTTAATTAAATATTACATGTAATTTCCAACAATAGATAAAGTAAATTGATATTAAGGAATATCGAGGAGCAAAAACAAATAATAAGCCTAACAATTAGTATAACTTTAATAAAGTTTAAGGATATCAATTTATACTAATCTTAATTTATGAAATTGTAATTATTGACAATCATAATATACCTACCCTGACCCTGCGTAAGTGTCATTAATTTTGAACGAAATACTACTACCACATGATATTTCATTTAAAAGAATTATAGATGTTCTGATTCCAATTAAATAGGTTCCAATATTATATGTTACTTCAGTTATCAATCCTTTAGTTCCTTAATTATATCTAAAGAGCCCTAAAAGATCATATCTCCCAACATACGACATTTAAATGGGTATATGATTTGTATTATCTGTATATGATATAAGTTTCATTTTAACCTACTCTTCAACCATTGCATAATCCGAAAACAATATTTCCCTACCTTTTTTGATTATATAAAAATCTACTGGGATATTATTAACAATGTCGATTAAAGTCAAGATATTCTTAATAATTGCAAAATAATGAGCATCCAATTCCAGGTCTAAATACCATATTTAGAGGACACTCTTTACAAATGCCATCCAAAGGTATTCCATAAAAACACTAAGTATATTGATTATACTCTATGCCAATACATTGAGTGCATAAATAATGGCATTTAATTTTTGATATTAATAAATTTCTAATTGAAACCTATCATTTGACGTTGTAAATTTTATTATATTGAATCTGATTTTTGTAAAATAAAATTAATTGTTTTAATTTCTACTTAGTAAGAATCTCAAATGATTGAGAAATTTTCAAACGAGTTAGGAGTTTAATATTAAAATGAAATTATTTCTGCTCCAAATTAAAATTAAATTAATCCATTTTACCAAGTACCTTATAGAATTAATTCAAATGATATGTGATTACCTTTCTCTAAACTAATTTAATTGTTCTGAGTGGCAGTAGGATAATCTCTATTTAAAGTCAAGTATTTTATTTATGGTGAATTGCATACAAGATAATTGTTATTACTTGGCCCAACTTAAGAGAATGTTGTTAAATTCTTATCATCAATCAAATTTATAGAAATTATATAATTAATTAAGTTAAAAGAGAGATTGAATAGTATTAACAAAATTTTTCAGATAATAAATATCCAGAATATCAAGAGAAATTATTAAAGATTAAGATATCATTGTGTTAATTTTTTAAAAATATAAATTTTAATTGCATTTTACTTTTCAACCATTTTTAGTTTCTATATAGATAATTAAATTAATATTATAATAATTTTTTTAACTATTATTTTCAATATGCCTCTTTCATTATATTTAATCCCATATAATGAAATATCATGAAATCTCATAATACTTTACCGAAAGTTGCAGAACTAAAATTAAGATTTAATATAAAGTATTAACATTCAGTTACATGATAAATATTGCAAAATCTGATTAAATCAATTTTGTAATTTAGTCAGAAATTCATTTTTTGAAGATACAACAAAGCCATTAAGTCTTTTTTTTATCTATTTCTCAAAAAAATCTTTTTAACTTTTTACTTAATAAACCTCGGATTCTCTAATTTCAACAACAGCTCTTATAAAGAAATAAAAAGAAAGGCAAGCTTATGATACTCTTTAAACTTATTCTTCTGATATTGAGTGGACATTTTAAAGCACTTTTAATTGTTTATCATTTATTTTTTCAATATCTAAACATTATAGTTGTTACATAAATTATATGTTTTCGATTATCTTTAAACATGATGTCCAATTTAAATTTTCGTCTTTGAATTATGAAATAAATAAAATGCACACCATCGCCATTACCTTCTCAACAATTATTGGGGGATGAGATAATTTTTTCATCTCATTTATATCACTTTTTTTCAATACATTTAAACTTTATTCAGCATTTTGCTTTCTCTAAAGTAAATCCTAAAGAAGATCATTCTCTAAATTTGCTTCCATTAATTATTATAACTTTTATTGTCTTCTCATTAAGATTTATTGAATTTAAGCAATCCTATTTGGCATCATTCTGATTACAGTTTAATAGGCTTTTCTGCTAATTAATCCAAAACTTAAGTAAGATTTAAGATCAACAAATTCTAAAATTTAATTAAAAATTTCTGGTCTAACTTTATTTAACAGATTCTATGGATTTGGAATTTAAATATACAAACCCTAAAGTTAATTATTAGTTATTCTAAAATTGAGAAATATACTCTAGTTTGTAATTTTATTCTTGATTATTAGTTTGTAATAGCTCTAACTCCTTTTAAAGGTTTAGTAACATTAAATTAATATAAATAATATATATTTTTCTGAAAATCTGAATATGTTATCAGAATTTATAAGTTATTAATGAAATCATCTTTTCTGATCATTTGATATAAAGAAGCATATAAGATAATATGAAATTATAAATTATGATATTTACTATAGTCTTTGAAAATCTATATATACTAGTAACTGGAAGTTCTGTAAATATGGATAAATTTCTTTCTATTTTTTAATGTTAACCCAAATAGTTCTAAATTTTATAATCAGGCAAATAAGTTTAAATGATATCATTGAAACAATTCAGTAATTATAATAGTTAGTTTTCCTCAGTCACATTTATAAGTTGTCAATGAATTCTATCTTTGATTTCTATTTTACTATATTTATATTTTGTGTTGAGATTATACCATCTGAGTAACATAAAAATGAGCTCGTATTCAAATAATGATAGCATATATTTTATTAACTACATTGTAAATTGATTGCAATAACAAAAATTATTTTTAACCTTTTTAACATTATTAAATACTCATAATTTGTTTCATCATATTTGATAGATATTTAGGATGTTTTAGAATGAGCTAATTGAATGAATTTGTTGATAACATCTAATAGCAAAATTAAATAGAGTTATCTTAGAAACCTTATATTATGCAGATAAAAGGTTGAAGATTGAAAATGATTAAATAAACAATTTTTTAATAAAAATAAATAGATTACTTATTTATTGAGATGAACGATTAAGAACTTTTTGATATTATCTAAAGAATGTATTTAAATGAACTTAAAAATAAATAATATTTTTTAAGAAACTAGAGAATAAAGATCCAATTATCTTCAGAAGTATCTTATGTCTTGTTTAATTTATTATGAAGGAATTTTTAGAACTCTTATCATTAAATTACCAACATAAGTGATATAGGTAATGAAAATTAAACTTCTAATATATTGTTATTTATCATAACGGTTTTGAATCAGGCAGAAGATAATAATAAGATAAATTATTTTTTCAATTCAACAAGATACGCATTTCCTATTTAATTTAAAGATATAGTGCTTCAAAATTAAATTAAATTTTACGATAATTTGAAAGGTTACTTCTATTTCTATTTAAACTGGTAAGAAATATAATTTAATGATTAATCTAATAGAATTGAAATGTATATTTTGAATACTTAGATGTAATGTTAAATATGAAAGGGAATATTGGTGAGCTCTTTATGAAATCAGAAAATACAGTGATTTCGCCATAATTTAATTTTTTGAAGAAGATTCTTCTAATTAGATTTATTACTATACTTTGGATAGTGCAAACGCATCCTTAAATCATATCCTAATTTTGTCATTTGGTAATAATGTAATTGTATGATTTAGTAACATGTGAAAAGAATGGGTTTATTTGAAATAACTTTTAGCAAAATTATTTTATACTATCAGGAAAATCAAATAAATTCTCCAAATTATCTTTAGAATAATAATAAATCTCAGAAAAAAGTATTAAATTGATTTTTTCAAATTATAATGACAGTTGTGATTTTATCAGAAAATTTCAGAAGTATAATTGTTTTGAATTTTTTATTTATCTCATCAGATTTTTTCTAAATCAATACAATATATTAGATTAGTTATAAATTTTAAAATATTAATTAAATATTTTATGTTATAATAAAAATATACAATATCAGCAAAAAATAATTTATTGTAATTTACCATTTTGAAAAAAAATATTATAAATTTCTGAATATATTAATTTTAACTTAGGATTTCTAGAAAAAATAAAAAATATTTGAAGAGTTTGTTGAATAGAATTAACTAAGACTATTAATTAGCTATTTCAAACTAGCTTGCAAGTTGAATTTGTTCTTTTTTCTTATCAACAATGATTTAAAATTTAATTTTTAATTTTTCGTAAAATATTTTATAATTTAAAGATAAATTTCATAAATAATTTTACAAATATCAAGTAATTATAAGCAAACATATCATCATTTTTTCAACACAATATTTATGGATTAGATATTCAATCCTTATTTCAAATTCATTTTAATTGGCTAGAATTTTGCAATAATAATGGTGATTTATTGAAGCCATTATTTTGATTAATTTTGATTTGTGAATATAAATGAAATTAAAAATTATTAGATATCATTTGAATAAATGTATTTTCCAAATATTATAGGAGAAATAATAGGATGAAGAAGCTGCATAAATTGGCCCCCTAAGCCTCTTACTGAATTTGAAAGCTTCCAATTACAATTAACATTCTTAATAAATAAAGATTTTTTTATTGAAATGACTACTTTGAGAATAAGTAGTCAGTCAGTGAAGTTTTTGAAAAGGTCTTTTTAATACAATTCAGAGAAATTCTGGCAAAGGGTAAAAGCTTAGAAATTGTAAAAGTTATCCTCTATTTTTATTTTGATCAAATTATTTTTCTTTAAATTCATGAGGATAAAGTCAAGCATATTTTATATAGATATAGCATAATTGTAATATTTTTATAATATAAATTCTTACTTAAAATATACTAGAATTGATAAATAATAAGAGTAAGATTTAATATTAAGTCAGATATCATTAAAAATATAGATCTTATTTCATTTTGATCTAAAGAAAGCATTAAGTAATTAATTCGTTAATTTATTATTTATAATTACGTATTCATTCAATAATATATAATCATTCTATTGGAAATAAATGATGAAATAATTGATTTTCACATTTATTAAAATGTGTTTAATTTTTTTAAATTTGTAAAAGCTCCTATAATGGCAAATTAGCGACTCAAATAAAAAATTACTTATAAAAAATGTTATTATAAATCTTCTTAGTCTGTGAATTTGGTATAAACTGTTTGCTTAAAATTAGGTAATTTAGAGAAGCAATTTCTATAATTCAATATAAAAAACAATTATGGATAAAAATTATCTATCTTATGATTTTTGGATTGGTACTATTTGAATCCAATGCCATAAAAGTTTCTATTTAAATTCAAAAATTAATAAATGTGAAACAATATCTTGAGATTCTATTATTAGAAGGAAAAAAATGAGAATATGATTATAGTAAGGAAAAATTAAATTATCTTAATTATGTAATTACAATGGATGTTCAAACTGTTAATTAATTAAATTTAATCAATTTAATCAAGTTGAAGAGAATTCCAAAGAAACTCATTTTTTTTGATGATTTAATAAATGGATAAACACATGAATGTGACTATTAAATTAGATTTATCTCCTGACTGAATTGGTTACAACCAAGGCATTAAATAATAAAAAAATATATTAGGATAAATAATAATGTTCAAATTGTTTCGATGATATTATATTCTCCATTCAATCAAGAATATCTCATCTACAATACTTATTGCATTTAATATTAAAATAAATCAAATCTGTAAGAAGATAATAATACATTTAATTCTGATGCTAATTTTATTCTTAAAGGAAATATTATATTCTCAAATAAGTTGGAATACGAACTGAGCAACTCTTATTATTTATTGAATTGATATCTTATTTAGATTGAGAATCTGCCAATATACAAATTGATCATTACAAATTTGTAGATTTCTTGTATAATTACAAAAATGGATGAAACTTGTATAAATTAAATTGAATTAAATGAATGAGAAGTTCAAGGACAGGTAATCTAATCTTCTTCGGATTTCAAAGAAACCCAGGTACCTAATTTTTTAATTCATAAATAATTTAATTAACAAAAGTTCCCTAATATGATTGAATTATTGTATATTGATGGCGTGTAAAAAGAATATTCTGGAATAAGTTTATTCTAGAAAATGAAGGATAGACCAAGCGAAAAACCCAACACTATTTAGGATTTTTATATCATTACCTTTTTATAGTAGCTCAAAATCAGTGACAATTCAAGAAAAGCAAGTTACCATGGGTAAGCGATTTGGATCGTCACACTTCGATATCAAATTCCCTAAACCTCTTGCTGCTTCTCACATTGTTTAGAGAGCCTTCAAACTTCCACTTGATAGCAATTGCAAAGGTTTCCATCCAGTTTATGTACTTTCTAAACTATAAGCGTGTGATTAAGATAATCGTGGGTAAACATTTTTGTTAATGGAAAATTATGAAACTTATATTTTTCAAATTTAATATTCAAATTCAGTCTTCAAATGTAAACCATTCTAGAGGTAATCCTTTTATTTTAAGGCTAATCTGAATGAATTTGATTAATTTTAAGTTTAAGGTATTTTTGAACTAGAAAAATTAGATACAGAATAAGCTGAAGCATAAATAATTCAAATTTATAAATCGAATTTATAATGTGTATATTATGAAAAAAAAAATAATAATAAAGTTTTACATTTGCTTCATAACATAGCTCATGAAGCAAATGAAAAGTCACAACTCTACTTGATAATTTATCTCCTAAATAGCATGTAATTTCTAATAAGAATTTAAAAGATAAAGAAATAGTATTAAACATTTATTAAAGGAAAAAGATTAGAAAAACTTAATTAATCTTTTTTATAACCCAATTCTCTTATTCAGAAAATTAATCAAAATTTCAAGCATTAGATTATTTAATCAATAAAATGATGCAAATAAAAAATAAATAGCATATAAATGACTATATTTTTATGTTAATTAATCAACTGTATACTTTAAGGTATTGTATAATAATATCAAGAGATTCTTTAGAGTAATTAGAAATATATAGAAATTTTAATCAAAGCTAAAAAATAATGATTATTTTCTGTCTAAATCTGAGATTTTTTTAAAATATTAAATCATTTAAACAACATTTATTACAATTCTAATAATACTAATTTGAATAAAACTTATTAAATAATTGACTTTCTTTACATAGTCATATCTCTGAACTCTAGTAAATCATCTGATTTTTTACTTTAATTCACTCATATGACTATCTATCTACTTTATTCACAACCAAATTTATAACTTGGGTTCTAAAATTACAAAAGTTGAATATTAGAATTGTTATAATTAAGATCCAGAAATGCATGATTGTTTAAAGTAAATGTATTTGAAAGGATAATTAAAGTAAAAAAAATTGTAAAAATGTTGATTTAATTAATACATTAATATCTAAAAATTTAAATTTGCCTGTATTTTTGAATTTAATAATCATTACTTAAAATTTATTATCTATACAATATCTAACGATTTAAGTCATTGTTAAATGAGCTAATCCGGATCAAGAATTGAGGCTAGCTATAATGTTTATCAAAATCTATAAATTATAAGTTATTATGCTGTAAATGTTGCTAAGGTATTTTATACAAATACTTTTGATAGGTAGTTAACCGACTTAAACAAGAAGCAATATTTTATTGAAAGCATTAAATTAATCAATTAACAACTTTATTTATTGCTTTCGTTATTTCTATGAGGATTATTGATATTATTTATGATAATTGGGTGAGTTGATTTTATACTTTCCAATTGTAATAATATATTATAAACCTAGATATTTTAGCTAGTTAAAATTTATTTTCAACTCTTATTAAGACAAAAATTGAAATTTAACAATAAACTTTCTTTTTTAGCTTGCTATTACAGAAAAACTCAAATTAGAGCTATTTCATTCTTATGATTTATATAGAGCATAAATTTTATTAATTCCAAAAAACTAATTAATAATCTATTTCTTTTATAAAGTAAAAATTGAGTATTAATTAATATATGTAAACTAAGTTTGATGTTAAAATCTCATTTTTATAGGTATTCAGCTTCTTAAGGATATATTATTCCTAAAAATATACATATGCTACGTTATGATTTCTTTCTTGATTATTAATACTCAATATAAGGGTTGCTGATAAAATGATTCTATTAATTTTTTCTTAACAAATGTGTAAAGTATATATACAATCCATTAAAAAAAATTAGAAAATTGAAATACCGTTATGAATAAGCAATGCCAAATATTTATTAATTCATATACTTTTTAATCTTTATCTTTCATAAATATTATTTAAAATTTAAAGTATTGATCTTCGTTTATCCCTATTTTAGATTCATTAATACCTTATGTTATTTAGATTAAAAATTCTCTTCTATTAGAGAGATAATAAAGAGCTAAATCAAATATACTATTGAAAGGGCTTTTTATATTCAACTACTAATATATTTAAATATACTTAAGCATATTATGTATGTTCTTTTTTTTTCAACATTATTATTAAATAGGATTCATTTTTTTCAAATAAAAATATTTTGCTTAGAAAATAAATCAATTAAATTTTGATATATACTATAAATTTTTCTACAATCTAATATTAAAAATAAATAAAAAAAAAATAATTTTAAGATTTTAGTTTAATTTAAGATGAAAGAATTAATCCTAAAGATTTTATATTGTACTTAGCATAAACTATATAGATTCAAATATTAGGTTGGGATTTTTTATATTCCCTATTTATAAACCATGTATTTTCTAATTTCGTTCATTGTTTTAATTTTCTTCTTCTTTGTTTAAGGTAGATAAAATTGTTCATGATAAAATTCTTGCAATTTTTAAAAGAATCAAAATTATTCTATTAAATTTTGCTTGAATTTTCTTTATTTCGACATTATTTNTTAAAAAGACAAAAATTGAAATTTAACAATAAACTTTCTTTTTTAGCTTGCTATTACAGAAAAACTCAAATTAGAGCTATTTCATTCTTATGATTTATATAGAGCATAAATTTTATTAATTCCAAAAAACTAATTAATAATCTATTTCTTTTATAAAGTAAAAATTGAGTATTAATTAATATATGTAAACTAAGTTTGATGTTAAAATCTCATTTTTATAGGTATTCAGCTTCTTAAGGATATATTATTCCTAAAAATATACATATGCTACGTTATGATTTCTTTCTTGATTATTAATACTCAATATAAGGGTTGCTGATAAAATGATTCTATTAATTTTTTCTTAACAAATGTGTAAAGTATATATACAATCCATTAAAAAAAATTAGAAAATTGAAATACCGTTATGAATAAGCAATGCCAAATATTTATTAATTCATATACTTTTTAATCTTTATCTTTCATAAATATTATTTAAAATTTAAAGTATTGATCTTCGTTTATCCCTATTTTAGATTCATTAATACCTTATGTTATTTAGATTAAAAATTCTCTTCTATTAGAGAGATAATAAAGAGCTAAATCAAATATACTATTGAAAGGGCTTTTTATATTCAACTACTAATATATTTAAATATACTTAAGCATATTATGTATGTTCTTTTTTTTTCAACATTATTATTAAATAGGATTCATTTTTTTCAAATAAAAATATTTTGCTTAGAAAATAAATCAATTAAATTTTGATATATACTATAAATTTTTCTACAATCTAATATTAAAAATAAATAAAAAAAAAATAATTTTAAGATTTTAGTTTAATTTAAGATGAAAGAATTAATCCTAAAGATTTTATATTGTACTTAGCATAAACTATATAGATTCAAATATTAGGTTGGGATTTTTTATATTCCCTATTTATAAACCATGTATTTTCTAATTTCGTTCATTGTTTTAATTTTCTTCTTCTTTGTTTAAGGTAGATAAAATTGTTCATGATAAAATTCTTGCAATTTTTAAAAGAATCAAAATTATTCTATTAAATTTTGCTTGAATTTTCTTTATTTCGACATTATTTGATTGTTGTGCGGTATCTGAAATAATTCTATAGGATATTATTTCTTATCCTTAATACACATTATTTAAATCACTCGATAAGAATCTAGGATTTAATGTATGTTAAAATGAGACTGGATTGATATATACTTTTAGTCTAAGGTTAAATCCCTCCCTTATTAGATGTATTTTTTTATTAGTTAAGTGTTTATTACTCAATTTGCTTATTTCATTCCAAAAAAAAATTTTATTTGTTAAGTCAGTTTTGGTCAGTACTAATTCAAAACTTCCAAAAAAAAGTTCCTTAAATTCTAATTTTCTACCTGTAAAGCTAAGGGTGATATGCACTATTTAGAAAGATATAATAAGGCACAATGGGCCCTTACCCAATAAATATAGTGATTATTAAAATAATTTCTTCTTCAGATTTAAAGCAATTGCCACCCCTAATTAGCCTTTCATAAGGGTTTTATTAAAAGCAGCCCTACCTAGCAATAGGCAGACTTCCTTTTTCAGCACACCATTTTTTTAAATGAGAAATAAGAAAGTTAATTTTAATAGTTTATAGGATTTAAATGTAAATTACATATTTTATAATTTTACCCTATATCATTTAAATAATTAATTTAATATTTCTATTTTACATTTGCCATAAAAATGTACACATGGATATAAATCTTTGGATGTATCAATAGTCAAAGTCTAATAATAATAATTTAATATTGATACAAATGATTCATTTGTGGATTATTTTATCCATTTTACATATTTCTTTTAGATATCCACTTCAACTATTATAATATCATTTTTTGAAAATTCAAATGCTATTTTTTAATTATCTTTATCTTATTAATCATGATTATAACAATGACCAGAATAATATATATTATATGTTCTATTTATTAATTATTAATATCATAACACATACCCTCCTCGAATTGAATAACAATTTTAATAACCCTTACTTTACACAATATCCCTCTAACCAATTCCGATCATAATTTCTTTAATTTCAATAATTTTAAAAGCAAATAAAATGACACCATTCTTAGGAATCATTTAATCACACATACAACAATAATAACCATGAGAATTATTTTCAATAACTTTTCCATTTGAAATTACTTTACACTCATTATATTTATAAGTTGTTGAGAATGTCAATTATTAAGAGAATTACTAATCCTACTTCAAATTTAAATTTTACTTTATACCAAACTTTATTATAATGATTTCACTATTACTTCATTCTTTTCATTTTACTCTTAACATCTTTCCAACAATCCTTGTTTTTCTTTAAGATTAACTTCAAATTCATTTTCTATTTAATACAATTTTCATTATTACTTTATTATTCAAGTTCTTATACTTTCACTCTTAATACTTGATTTTCATTCCTTAAATCTTATATTATTTATCTAAGTTCAATTATTATTTATTAATTAGATAAGTTTGCCTTTTCACTTTCAGTTAGTTGATTTTACAGGAATTACTTATCTTACTGACTCTATTTAAGTTCAGCCTCAACTTTATCGAAATTCGTTAGATTCTTCATTATTGAGAAATCTTTTTGAATCTTAGATACATATTGATTAAACTAATGTTTACTAATAGAGCTATACTTGCTACAGTTACAAATCTTTAAATTCTGTTGATAAGTCACTTATTAATTGCATAATAAATTCATACTAATTTTATGCTTCATTTAAGATATCCTAATATATTAATAAATTTTAAAGTTATAAATTTAATTACTTAATTGATTATTAATTAGAAATTTGATTTTCCTCTTGAAAAATTTCATTTTTTTAACCATTAAGTTCAGCAATATAGGAGTTTTATTCTTTGAACATTTTATTAATCTTATTAATTGCCAATATATCATTTTATAACAATTTTCCAAAATTAGTTGAAATTATTTCCATTTAATTAAGGTCTTCCTTTTGAATATGAACTTATTTCTAGGTTAGTGCTTAAAATTTATCTGTCTAGCTTAATATTTCAGATAACTCATTAATTTATTCAGTACTCATTTAATAAATAATGTTTTCATTAAACTGATTTATCTCATTTTGAGAGAACATTGAGTATTGAATGTTTACCCTATTGATAATATCTGAAATTGTAGAATTGTACTTTTCCTTAATTTCCTCAAGAGTCTCAATGATTTATCTTTATTTAAAACATCTTATGTCCTAAAATTGTTTAACTTGATCACTAGTCTAACCCAAATATTCATTCCATCTAAAATTCGCATCACTTAAAGTTGTATATTTGATTGGATCATTTGATTGTATACACTCAACACAAGCCTATCTTGAAAGCTTAGTTTTTTCAGGATTTAAATTTAACATGATAATTTCTTTTCCATGTTTATTACATTAAATATTCAAGCTTGGTGTTTTCTATTTATTGTATTATATAATAATATTTACCAATGGATTTTCCTCCTTTTTTGAGAGTAATTAGATTTACTTTATTTCTTTTTGGTCTTCTTCCACCTTAGTGTTTTCTAAAGATTCGTTGATTTAGTTGAAAATAGGACATTTAATTATAGATTACAATTACTATTATACTGAATCTATATAAGAATTGTTATCCATTTATTTCTCGAATTCCTTAGGAACCTCAAAACTAAATGATCCTTTGTAATTCTTCGATAAAACTTTGACATCTTCCTCAAAAGAAGATACTTAAGTTTTTGTTTCAGATTCTTCTAGCTCTTTCTCCATAAGAGTTATTTTTTAGTCTAAGTTACATTAAACTTTATCTATTGTGTTGTTGATTTACAATTTCAATTCTTTTATTTAAGTTTGAATTTATCTGAAGTTTTCAATCTTTCTTTAATACTCTTTGATTTTACTGTTCAATTACTCACTTTTCATTTGATTAATCATTATTTTTGTTTCTTCAACCAAAGCCATGTTTTAAATATCGATTTTCTCCATCAGACACTTGATACAAAGATATTTATCTTCATCAGCAGTAGATTATTTTAAATCTATTGTCAAAATCTCTAATTTGTGCTTTAAACATAATTTTTTATCCAATTCAGATGACATTAATAAATTTTATTATAATAAAATATTAAATTTTTTAAATCCTTTATATATTTAATTATTTATAATTCTATAAACTTTATCCAAAAATCAGCATTTTTTGATTCTATTCTAAATTAAAAGTATAATATATAAAACACATATTGTAAACTAAAACTATTCCTCAAAAATTTAGAAAAATATTTATAGAATTTTAATCAAATTATAATTATTAATTATGATTAGAAAAGAGTGATAATAAATATTTTACATATTCAAAAATCTTATAAAACTATTGAAATTTAAACAAAAGTATTATTTTGGAGTAGATTAGTAGAGTAGATGGATCTGAAATAGAAGTAAGTCAAGTAGTATTTAATTGGGTAAGGAAATAAGTTCTAAAATTTGAACTCAGTAGAAAATTCTATTTAAAGTTTAGATGGATTTCTATTAAGCAGTGTAATTTTTTATTTGACTAATTTATGAAAAATTAAATAAACTTAAACAAATCTAAAGCACTGCACTTTTATGTTGGATTTAGAGTCTATTATTTTGACCAAAATATTCAAGTCATTTAATAAGGAAAAAAATATTAAGCTTACTCCTTGGAGGGAAAGATATTAGTCTAATCGAATATCAATCAATTCTAATGATTTGAATATCCATACAAGTAATCTTAAGCTTTTATTTCAATTATTCTAATCTTACTTGTATAACCTTATTATCAGACTCGTTATCCAAAAAAATATCACTAGTGATATATAATATATTAAATTTATACATTATTTCTATCAAATTCTCATCTTTTTTTATTTATCTTAAATTTGAATTAATTGAATCCTTGATGATATGTTTTAAATTATTAGATTAAAATACATCTTTTTTTTTAAATTATATTTTATATATTTTATTTATTAGTGTTTCATCAATATGAGCTATATAATGATCAAGTTTATTTATGCTGGATTTTATTTTTTAATTTTAATTCAAGCCGAAAGAATAAAATAAGGATCATTTTTTCTGTTTAAAATCCCTTTACCTTCCATACCTAAATCTTTCACTTGAAGCAATTGAAAAATATATATATAAATAATGTTCCTCTTACTAAGTTTAGTCATTCCTCTAAATTATTATTGGCTAACTGCTATTCCTAAAATCTATCAACTTTGATCTACCGTAATCTTTTTTTTATAACTCACAGTATTTGATGCCATTTTGCAAATTTTACTCTAATTATAGAATATATTTTTAAATAAATTAAATACCATAAGGGCTATATCATTAAATTATGCCATAAGGATAGGATCTCATATATATAGATATAGTATTGTAAACATAATACAATTTTAGTGGCATCTAAAAATAGAATTTAAAAATTTTATTGATACAATAAACGATTAGATTAATATATTTTTTTGATGGAGTCTAGTCAATTTATTTTAAATTACAACAAATTTATTCATAAAATTTTGACTTTCTGAGCAGAATAATCAAAATTTTTTAAATAGTAAATTAGTATTCTTTTCCTTTTTTTAAAAGAGTCCATTGAAAAGTAATAGTTTAATAAATCATTTACATAAAAAACTGGAAAATAAGAAAATATATAAGATAAGAAGTAAAATAATGCTTATTATTGAAGTATTATTTGGTTAATATTAAAATAAACAAAGAGTTAACCAATGAATTTGTACTAATAAAAAAAATTTATTCATAATTCATATCCAGTTAAACTCAATTCTTTTTATTATTTCATTTATTAAAATTTATTTTATTCATATAAATTCCAAAAAAACCGATTTCCTTTATTTTATCAGAATAGTTAATAATTAAAAATATTAAATACATTACAGGTTAATTTATTTGTAAACTTATTTTATTATGAGCAAATTTGAAAAACTCTTCTTCAAAGTAAGACTTATTTCCTTATTAAATGAGGTATTAAGAATCCTGAAGAGAATAAAATCTAATTGACACCTACACATAGAATTTTCAATTGTCTCTTTGATTTGTAAGATGAAATCTTTTTACTAATAAAAGGTTTAATACTGTTTTAAAAAAGTATAAGGATTAACCAATTTTATTGTCTACAAAAATAATCAAAAAATTAAAAGATTATTTGCTTATTATTTATTTTTTTAATTTTGACTATAGATTAATAGATAAAAATTAAAATAAAATTTAATTCATGGCGGGAGAAGGGAAATAAGCGCTTCTGGGTTATGCCTTTGTCTAAGACCCTAGTAGCCTATTTATAGCGGCTGTAGAGGGTCACAAAGGCTATCAGACTAAGAAGCCCATGGGGAAGGAGCCCGAATAGCTTCCCCATGCAGTTCGGTAATATGATGGCATCTTTCGGGGATCAGATCCCGGTCAGTGGGCGAAGAGGTCAAACCAAACCCGGAAGTAGAGGCCTCAAAATGTAAGGGGTCCTGAGAAGAGTTAGCTACAATTGACTAAAATAAAATGGATTTATTTTTTATTTGTAGATCCACCTCTTATATAGTTTAAGAAAAATTGCTCATTATGTACAATTAGATATTAGAAATATGTTTTGAGTTAGAAACTAATGATCTCAGTAAAAGAATATAATCTAAAATTTTTTTAAAGTTTGAAGATGGCTAGGAAGGTAAAGTAGAATTAATTTTGTTGGCTCTTTGTAATGAGGATTCATCTTTAATTTTAATGCAGGTTAGTTAAACTATCAGAAATATGAAATAAAATCTTTTTAAGATCATTTATCAATTTAGATGTAAAGGAAGTTTTTACACTATACTCAATCAGCAAATTATCAAAATTACTGAACTAAATATTTATAATGCTCTTTTTCTCCTGAAATGCATCATTTTTAGTAAGGATAGACAAATTTATTCCTTAATAATTATTGTTTTAAAAACAACTTCAAAATCATAATCAAAGGTTACTTATTTTTAAGAGATGTTCGAAGAAACAAAATTTTATGATATGATTCTTACAAAATAAAATTTTATCTTCAATTAAAATTTATACTGCTTTATGAGAAAAAAGGTGTTTCAATGCCATTAAGATTTTAGAGAGGTTGGATCATCTAAAAATGAAAAATATTTTTATTCATCATGAATATAATGTAAAAATAAAGATGGCCTTATTGGTGTTCTTTAAGCTATAATTAGTAACCAATAAAAGGTCAATACAATGTAACATGTTTTCGAATGCTCACAATGAAATATTTACTATAGTAAATATTATAAAATTTAGAACATATAGCCTAGCTACATTCAAGATAGATTGAATTAATTATTTGCAAAAAATGTTTATAACCTGGATATGCCTTGTTATTATTGGTTTGATTATGATATTAACATGAACCATTCATTATCAAAACTGTATATTCTTTGAATTTTGTTATTTTGAGAAGACAAGTTTAAGTTATGTTGATTTAAGTAATTAAAATATAAATATAAACTAGAATTTCAAATAGAATAGGAATAAATTGATTACAAATATATTAGTCTATTTCTTATGCATATAATTAATTTTTATCTTTCTTCTCATATAGAAATATAAATGATAAAAAACTTCAGAAAGAAGAATCCATGTGAATTTATATTCAAAATAAATTTGTATAATTTATATAAATTTATTCAATTATGATATATTCTAGAATTTATTAGATCAATCTTTAGAAGTAATAAAAAGTAAATTGCAATACTTGAATCATAATCCAGATATCAACTTCAGGATTTTATGATTTTGGTAACAAATATTAATGCTGATTCAAGAGTTTAAAATGGAAATTTAATTATTTGGATCTTAGCAGATAAATAAATGTAAAAGCCTTTTTAATAATGTATTTATGACTCTAATTTAAGATTTCAGGAAGGAAATGCTTATTCTGCTTAAAGTAACATAAATTTGATTACTTTGTTACAATAAAAATATTGCTATAGTAAAACACTACAAAATTAATCAGCTAAAGTGAAAATTTCAATTATCTAGAAAAAGAAGTTTGAATTTCATTGAGATCTCTGACTTTTAAATTTTGATGTAATTTTTAGGATGAAATGTAAAAAGTACTTAGAGTAATCCTAATTTTTATTGTTTTAGTTTGAAAAACTACATTATATGGCTATTTTATATTCAAATACTTGAATAAAATTCATTTATTGTATTGACTTTTAGATCTAAAATTCTAAAAAAAAATAAAGATTTCATAAAAATCGACTCAATATTTTTATTTTGAAACTCATATGAACATAGTTAGTTAAAATTTATTATTTTGAGAGTTAAGAACATGAAATAATAATAATAATAATTCATTAATAAATTTTTAATATAATACGCATTATTTATAAATCAGATTAGTATATAAATGGGTTGATTGAAATTTTAAATTATAATTATTTATTGAATCTATTTTAAAAATGCAAACATAAGAAGATAAAGTCAATTAAGATTAACTAATAGAAATATAAGAATGTATACAAATTTAATAATTAGCAGCTGAGGTAAAAATTTAATTTAATTAATATTATTAGGACTCTGTCATGAATATTGATTCAAAACTTGAAAAGAAATAACATTAAAATCAAATTTAAGAGCAAGAAACTCAACAAAAATAAGAGTAGTAAATCTAAGAGAACGATTCTCATAATTAATAACTTACAAATTAATAAACTACTTTTATGTCCACTCATTCTAATATTAAACCATTCACATATTAATTGATGAAATAATACTCAATTAAATAAGATCAATATTGTAATGCAATTGCTGTTAATTATGATTGTACAATTTTAGTTGCTGGATGTGGGTAATATATTAAAGTTTTTGAATTTAACTAAGCAATGTTGAAATAAGTTTAAATAATATGTGAACATAATAGCAATGTGATTACATTAAATTTTATGAAGAGATCGGATCAATTCATATCTGGGAGTAGTGATCATTCAATTATAATCTGGGCAAGAAATGAAAATAATTCATGGTTTTGTTATCAGAAATTGTTAGGGCACAAAAGTTATATCTAGTGTTTGGCCTTAAACAATAATGAAGATATTATTGCATCTGGTGGTAATGATAATACAATTATATTTTGGTAAAAATAAAATCAATGGTTGTGTTCTTAGACAATTATAGGTCATAAACAATGTGTATTTGGATTAAGTTTTAATGAACAAAAAAATAGATTGATATCTTGTGGATAAGATTGCCTTATATTAGTAATAGAACAATCAGAACAGAATAAATAATGGATTATAATATAAACGATTGAATCAGAAACATGTGGCGTTCGATTAAACTTCATCGATGATAATACATTCACATTAAATCCATGGGGAGAAGAGGAAATGTATATTTTTCAAATGAACAGTGTTCATAAAAAATATATGTATAAAAAGGTTATTAAAGGAAAAGGGGGTTTTTCTGATTCCCCACAATTTCCATAATAATACATAAAATCAAAATGTATTCTTTTGAATAAAAATGGTTCAAATGTGAGTATATTAAGAAGGTAACAAAATGGTGAATTTACAATTGAATAATCTATTGAATTCCAAACTCACTATATTTTTGGATGTATGACTGACGATGGGCAGTATCTAATCACATGGGATTTTAAATCAAAAGAATATCAAATCAGGAAATATCAGGAATAATGATTAATTGACATATTTTAAATAAAATATAGAAAATTAAATTCAGAAATTAAATATGAATTCTACATTTTTCTCAAATTTCTTAGATTTAAACTTTTATTAATTTATTAATTAATAATAATTTATTTATTGGAATATAAATTAATTATGTACCCCCTTAGTCTTTTGTAAGTCAAACATGAGCTTAAATTCAACGAATATTTTGGAAAAAAACCAAAGATAATATATACTAAATAATGGGCCAAAGCACAAATTGTAACTTATCCAAATAATTTTCCCTTAATAAATAGTAAGTCTCTGGAACTGTTCAAAAAATCTTAAAGTACTGAATGATTAAACTATAAATTTGTGTAATATTTCAATATCTGGTTTTTCAAGTACCTCATGCTCCTTCTAGCCAGGCCTGAAGGATTTTCAGGTAAAAATTTGTATGGATCCAGAATTATGCAAAAACTCCATTGTCTTAGATTATTTGGAAGATACAATTTCAGAAAATTTTACCTGAAATAATTATTATAAAAAATATTCATTAAAATTATTTATTTGTAGATTTATAAACTATCTATTTAAATATCTATCTTACTTTATAATATTTTGAAATATAAAATCGTTGTGAATTTGAAATTACCTCTAATTTTGCTGATTGAACAATTTTTTTATAAAATATCGAAATATAAGCTTATGCATGGAATTATATATAATTGAAAATAAAAACTAATATCAGGTTGTTACAAAATTTATTAAGCCATCTAAAAATCTTTAGTATTTGGATTGGGTTTTAAGCATACTTAAGTTATGTACTACTTTATTGATATTTCCAAAATTTTAGAAATTGTTTTTATTGAATATGAATCTATCTCAATTCAATTTTCTCTGCTACTCAGTTTCAATGCTTAATTAATTGACTTAACCTTCCTCTTTTGCAGAAGGTTTATTCACTAAATTATTGTAAAATTGGAATTGCTTGCAGCAAGATCTCAATCATAAATAAAAATGATACTAAGTAAATAGTATTTAGAGATCAATTGTTCTCCTAAAAGTTCTATACAATAGTGATGAGTAGGATAAATAGTATTATACTTTAAAATTGAATATTCTTCTAAGAAGGGATAATATTTACATTGATCCATAATTCTGATTTATTATTAAAAAATATATGCAATTATAATATATTTTTTTAAACCAAATTTAATTTCTATTAATTTTTATATAAATAATGTATTTCTATTATAATAAGTAATATAAGTTATTATTAAAGTATTAATTGAAGGCTTTAGTATGTACAATACTTTGAGCTATATAGGTCGTGAGGAGCTCATTAAATAAATAAAAGAGAGCATCTTTTATTTTAATCCTTAAAAAATCTTGGAGATCGAATAATCAAAAGATGCAAAAATTGGGTTTATAAATAAAATAAAATCAAAGAAGATTACAAAAAGAATTGCAGCAACATTATCTTTTGATTAAATTTCAACAAAAGACTATAACAGATATCTTGAAGTAAATAATAAGAAAGATTATTATAAATTTAATATGCAAAACTATGGAGTATATGAAGCAGCCCTAATTTCTGATATTGAATACTTAAAGGAAAATATCAAAAATAAACTTTTGTAATAAGAATTTAAGCAATCTTTACTTTATACTTGTTGTAGATCTGGATTCTATGAATGTGTATAATTATTACTCGAACTTGGTTTTGATATTGAATCAAAAGAAGAGACTAATACTCTTTTACAAGTGGCCAGTTATTATGGACATGAAAATGTGGTTGGACTATTAATTAGTTATGGTGCTAATAACAATATTAAAATTAATTATATTAACTATCCTTTAGATGAGTCTAGAACAGATTAGATAAAATAAAGAATGAAAAGGAGTTCAGAGGATAATATATTAAAATTTTTCTAAGAATTAAAACAAGCAGGATTAGCTGAAAGTATTTAAAGATCAAAGGATGATAATATGATTAGGATCTACAGAAAAATAAAAGGTGTTGACTTTCAAGCATTATTAAAGAACAAAAAAGAATATAGTCATTGCTATCATGGGACTTAATTTAAATGTTTAAAACCAATTTTAGATGTGGGATTATAATAAGCTGGTACAAAAACTAAATATGGAACAGTCGAAACACAAGATGATTATTTTTAAGTATATGAGAGAAATGGTGGAACCAATGATTGGAGAAATGCTATTTTCACAACTCCAAGTCCTTTTTATGCAGCTGAGATGGCATATTCAGAGAGAATTTAGAGTAAAAGTCAAAAATATTGTTGCCTTATAGAAGTATTTATAAAATAAGGTACCTAATAAGAATTCAAGTCAACAATTTTAAGTAGAGATTTCTAGATTTATAATGAGCCTATAAATATTGAATATAGAATTGAATACAATTAGGATGCCCAATTAAATGAAAAAATTGAGGATATAAATAAATTCATTGTGATTTCTGCATTATTTTTAAAAGAGTAATATTTACATGAACAAACAAATTATGATGACTGCTAGTAATTACTTGATAATTTTAGTCCTTAAGAGTTGTGAAATTTATAAATAATTTAATATTATATTAATTTTAGTTCAATATTAAAATAAATAATCTTCTTATTGAAATACTTAGAAATATTTTAAACTAATATTTATATTCAAAAAGGTAGACAAAAAATAACAATATTTTTGTTGACATTTATTGAAAATTAATAATATAAATAATAAAGTATCAGAAGAACCAAAAAAATCTATTTTTTTAAGCTATTATATATATTTTTCAAAATGTATAGGTAGATTAAGTTTGGTGGAAGAATTAGAATTATACTGTGATGTTGCTCCAAACATCATTTTTAGTGTTATCACAGTACCATTATCAGCTATCAGCTATCATAAAAATTTTTTCCGATTAGGAACCTTAAAAACTTTATTAAATCTAATAGTTTTTTTGTATCTTTATTTAAATTTAAAATTATTTTGAAACTTATACAATTATCTGCTCATGGATTTTAGAATTGTTTGTAATTAATAAAAGTTTAGTTATTTTACTTTATTTATATTTAATTGAAACTATAATCCCTTCTTATTTTGTTCCTTAAAGGTTCTAATAAAGAATATTTACATATTCATGATTGTTTAAAAATTCATATTGTTAAGTTGTTGTGATGTGCTTGCTTGTCATTTGTATTAAGACTTTTTTTTCAAGTTGAATCCCTATGGCTAATATACCTACAGAAGCATGTCTTCAGCTGTAGTTAAGCATCATAAAAGTTTGAGTTCCTTTCAATAAGAATTTCCAAAGGGAAAGTAGGAAAATCTCTAGAAAAAATAGCAATTTATAATAATATGAGGATCTTAAAAGTAAAGAGTTAATTTTAATTTTTGATTTAATATTAATGATTTGGTTTTTGGCGATATTAAATTATGGTAATTTTGTATTTATTTTAAAATGAATAAGTATTTAAAATATTTAAGGACTTTTATATATTGAAATAGACTTGGAAATAAGCATTAGAACAAGGTTGAATTAGAATAAGACTATGAAAAAAAATTAAAGCAATTAAAAAGTTATTATACCCTAATTAAATAAAATAATCTAAATTGATTTTTTGAAATCAAAATTATTCATCAACTGCATTAATTAGATATAAAGCCTATTTTTTATTTTATGTTAAAATAAATCTTAATACTTGTAAGAAATTAAGCGAGTATATTGTAGCATTATTTTTTTATTAAAACTTTAATTCTCTTTCTTATATTAATTTTGTATTTACTATCATAAATTACTCATTATACATTTCTGTTAAATTAAAAATAAAACGAATTTGTTTTTTAATAAAAAAAAACAATTTGTATTGATAAATGATTCACATAAAAATAATTATTTGATTCTCAATAATTTTAATCTATTTATTTTAATACCATGTATTGAAACACATATCAAAGGTATAAGTAAAGTTAAGCTAAGTTAAATATTGTTTTTTGCAGTAAATCTTAAAAGCATCAAATTAATGAAATTAGAGTTATAAATTTTTTTATTTTCTGTGTTCATATTATAAAATCTAATAATGGCATAATTAATAAATAAATCAATTATTGTTTTTGGAACTTTCTTTTAGTTGAAATTTAGACTTAAATTTATTATGAATAAATAATTACATCCTGATACAATAAATTCAATATCCCTAAAATTATAATTATAGTTGAGATAATTAAAAAAATTTAACTAAATCTCATTTTTAGTGAATGAATTAACAAGTTCTTTCAATATAATGTATGAAGAACCTGAAATAATTGCCAGATTTTTGCATTAATATTAAAAAAGATATTTCTTCAATTTGCTTGTCATTGATTCTAAGATAATTTAAGCTAAGCCATCAAGCATTATCCAAGGGCTAAATATTTAGAGTTTTATCTTTGAAAATAATATATAACAAATTTATTGGATAAATAAAATAGAGCTGAATAATTATAACAAAGTTATTAAAGTAATATCAAATTTATTTGAAATATAAAAATATTATGGAACTAGGATAGTTGAAACCATATTTAGATGCAAGCGAGCTTTTATTAGAAATATTTATGATAATTATTGAAAATAATTCTGGTGAAATTATTTGATGTTAAAATTACTTCATTCACTTATTTAATAACAAAGAATAAGCCAAAATATATAAGCATTAGAAACTATGATTGAAAATAATAAATCTTTATTTCAACATAGTTATCAGTAGATTATAGATTATTAATATTTCATATTGTAATTTATTATGAGACTCCATATATTTTAATTTATTATTTACTTTTTAAATAGTTTAATAATTTACTATAAAAGAATAACAAAAAATTTAATTTCTTTATCACTTTATTTAATTCAAATTTTATTTAGACCTATTAAATTTTTCTTTTTCTTAATACTGTTATTAATATCATGTTAATTAATATCTGAGTTCTAGTTTAATTCTAGGAAGTTTACAATGGTATAAGATGAATTCTATTATATTTCAACTTAAGTATTTTATAATTAGTATAAATTATAAAATTTTTGTTTCATAAATTATAATAATAAAATTATTAAGGAAGATTCTCAAATTTAAAAAAATTAATTTTAAACTTAAAATAAGGTAAAAATTTTAATAAAAATAAAATTTTTAAATCAATTTCTACACCCACTTGATGATATATTTAATTAATAAAGAGTTTTTCATTAATATTAATAATTATTGTCTGGTTGAAAATGATTTAAAATTATGGGTTTATTTAAAACCTATTAGAATTCAACAATCCTATTCTTTATCAATAAGCAATTACCTTTAAATCTTATTAATAAGAAATTATGGCTAAAAATAGAGCTTTTTCAATTAAACAAGAATGCAATGAAAATCTTTTTGAATTTGGACAATAGTTGATTGACTTTTATTACTATGAATTCTTTGTAAATGAAAAGTAAATATTATTTGATTGTGTAGTTTACCAAATAAAGAACATAAATACTTTTCTTCTTTTTCCAAAATTCATTAATTAAGGTAAGAGTTATTAAATGATAAAAATTTGGCTTAGATTGCTATAAATTTGGGGTTGAGAGAAAAAATAAAAGTTTCGATTAATAACAATTAAAATTCAATGTAATTCATTAAATAATATAAAGAAACAATCAAAAAATTTAGGCTTAAGCTTTTAAAGCAATTATTGGGGCACAATACTTTGACAAAAATAAAGATTTGAATAAATTAAAGAATTCAATTTATTCTCTATATAAAGAAATGATAAACAGTTAATGTGTAAACAATTAGAATAATTATATAGAATTAAAATTTTCCAACTTAAATTATATAATCTAATCCAAAAGGAGATTTTTAAGAATATTTATCATAAAACCCTGAGTTAAAATATTAGGTAATTTATGAAACAGAGAAGAACATTTTGATTGATCAACCAAATACAATTCACAAATTTCAACTCTAATTTACAAATATGTTATAACCTATAATCAAATAGGGCGAGCAAAAGAAAGAAGTTGAAAAATAGTTATATCTAGATGCCATTAAATAAATTAAAAACTAGAACAAATAATTCATAAATGAAACCTAAGGTATAAATAACTCAAAACTGCCAGGATAAATACGGAATAATTTATAGTTTGATACATAATTATAAGAAATAGATTCAATTCTAATGTAAATTTCAAATTAAAATTTCCAAAATCAAAAAGCCAGATAAACTTGAGTATATAATTATAGACATATAATTTATATATTTAAATAAGTTAAATTATTTTATCTCTATTTTATTAATATCATAATAAAAAAAAGGTAGTAAAGATTGAAATTAATTTCTATTAAGTATTAGATTGAGTATTTAACTGAAAGGTTAAATAAAATACTATTTATATAATTTAGAAGTTTGTATAAATTTAAAATTTTTTTTAGGTTAGTAAGTCAATTAATTCATCTATCCATTTAAAATATCATTTAAGTACGATTTGGATGTTTGATAAATATCTGGAATACCTGATGAAAGAATTAATAATAAATTCTTAACATTATAAATTTTTATAATCATTGATTTTGCTTAATAAATTTGAATCAATTAATATTTAATAGATCTCAATGATTAAAGAAATAAATAAAGGAAGAACAGCTGTATAAATATTAAAAAAATTATCAATATCTTAGTAAACTATTACATTCAATTATATCAGTTAATAGAAAAAGTTACTAATTATTAAATTTTGATTTACACACAAATTAAGCATCATAAATAGAGTTTTCATTTCAATATATTTTTTTAATTTGAAGAAACCTTTATTCAGATTAAATTACAAATTTTTGAAGTTAATTCAAAATTAAAATTCAAAGTGTAGATTGCATTTTTTAAACATTGTAATTCACCATATAATAAGCCTACTATTTAGATACTGTTTAATATGAAAAACTAATAAAGGGAAGGCTTCAATACTAATTAGGAAAATAAAGTTAAGTCGGATTCATCTGAAAATTCATAACTTAGACTAGAATGAGAAAGAAAATCTTTTTGAACTTAAGTAAAATACATAAAAAAGAAAATGGTGGTTTTTAATGTTTTTATACTCAAAATAATTCAAATTTTAATTTTTTTAAGTCAATCAATTCTAATATAAACTTAGGTTAGAAGTATCAAAAGAATCTATTATTTATTTTTCAGCTAATCTTACCTCGTAATAAATTGTTCTATTTAAACAATTACACCAATTTTAAAAACTAAAAGAAAGTATATGTTAAATCTACTGAAAGTTTATAGTCTTTCAAGTGAGATTTTATTTATAGCAATTCCCATCACGTAGACAGGAGAACAAAGTATTCATTTGAATTATAAGGGCTTAATCATAGCTAATTGAAACAAAAAATTTAATCATCAAATAAAGGAAAGTTTATAAAGATAAAATATAAACATAAATTAAGTAAGTTTTGATACACTCTTAGATTCTATCTCCTCCTGTGATTTACTTAAATATCTGATCGGATAAGCACAACTCAATTATATCAGAGATCCAAGCCTAGATGCAGATATTCTTTTTCTTTCTCTTCTTCATTTGCTTATACCTAAAAAATATGTAAGTAATTTTCAAGCTAGTTATAAACAGTAAGAAAAGGATGCAAGTTAGAAAAAAATGGTTTTCTGATTTCATTAGCTCTAAATTTTTCAATAAATTTAATCAAACTTTTTATACTATCTTACCTTATAATATAATTATCCAAAATAAAATAAAAATATTATGACATTTTTATTCTTTAATAATAATGTTTTCAATTCAAATTAAAGTTTAATTGTTATTAAAGCAAATTAAGGAAAAAATAGTCTCAAAGTTTGTGTCAGAACAAGATACTATTATCATTTTTTGAAATGAGATAAAATAACAGAAAATTGATTTCTAACTATTTAGAAAGTTATGTTATTTATATTTTCTAAATTATTATATTCGATATTATTGGATAACTATTATGATTATTATTCTATAATAATGCAAGAAGATTGCTTTTTTTTGCTATCTTTGCTTTCAATCTTTTGATGAGCATTTCAATAAAGTAAGAAATTATGTTTTTTATGAGACCTCTTAAACTTTAAGGCTTATTAAAGAAGGTTGGATTAAACCACTATCAAACAATCATTATATCTAAATTAATCATAATATATATTGAGATTAATTGATTCAATATTACTTAAAAAAAATAATATTATTAAGATATTAGAAGATTTCTATTCCAAAACGCAGGTTACAATTTTTGCTTATTTTTTAAGTTTAGACTCCTCTGATTTATTAATTATTTTCATATTATTTATTTAAAAGTATTAAAATAACAATATGGGAATTACTTGTTCAACAAATTAAAATATAGTATCGGAAATTCCATAAGTGATGATGTAAAATTAAAATTAATTTGAAGATCTGTTGAAAAATCTGAGCCTTTAAATATTAAAAATGAATAATTAAGTATGAGTTAAGAATTTTAATGTGCAATATGGAGATCATATTCAAAAAAGTGGAAATAAAAAAAACTCTAAATAACGTTAACTCAGAAGAATGATATTAAATATCTGTTGAATGGGAAATCTGAAAATATGTAAGTTAATACTATGAAAAAAGAGATGTCTAAAATTTTTCAGCAAGTCCAGAAATTTTGAAAAAACTAGAAAAGCTCAAATATATTGAATTGTGGGGAAATAGCATACCGAAACTTAAAAAGGTGTAATAGTTTACTGTTAATTGGAAATTACAAAAACTTGTAGAAATAGGTGGATACTACACTTAAGATGGATTAAAGTTGGGATTATGGAAAGAATTAAGCTAAAATTATTGGACGTATATAATAGTTGTTTTTAAACATATAGTAAAGCTTAAGTTTATGAAATTGGAGAATATTTCAATAATTTAAGAACAAAAAGTTGGGTATATATTTATTATGATGAAATAATGTATATCAAAATATTTAATTATTCAGAGGTGGTGGATAGTATAACAAAAATGGTTAAAAGGATGGCAAATGGAGAGAAATAGATGAATTTTCAATGTAAATATCAAATCAATTAGTAGCTAATCCTAAGTATTTTAAGATGGGGAATACAAAAATGGTAAAAAAGTAGGCATATGGTATTTTTGTATAGAGGACTGGAGAACAAGTTTACTGAAAATAATGTAATAATGATAATCATATCTTTAAAATATTAGTGGTGGTGGATAATATATAAATTAATGTGATGATGGTTCTATAAAAAATGGAAGGTGGTGTGAATTGGGTTAGGGATATGTTTCATATTCATAAATCTTTCTTGAGGGTTTATATAAATAGGGTAAAAAACATGGGAGATGGAACCTTTTAATTGCTAATGAAAAAATGTAATATATTTGAATTACAAAATAATAATTTACTTAGATTTAATGGTGGTGGAAGCTATGATGAAGTAAATGGATAATTTGAAGTTAAGAATGGAAGATGGGTTGAATAATCAGATAATTATAGTTACGACACAATAATATATGATGGTGAATATTAAAATAATAAAAAAATTGGTAGATGGAATATTTTGTTTGAGTTAGATAGTAGATCATCCGTTAAGTTAGTGTAAGTATTTAAACTAATTAATTTTAGTGGAGGAGGAACATATAGCTTTTAAGAAGGATTAGACTCAGTTAAAAATGGAAAATGGATTGAATTGCATGATAGATTTAGAGAGTAACAACAAATCACTTATGTTGGCGAATATTATAATAATAATAAAATTGGTAGATGGGATACTTTTTAATCTGATTATTGGAATACTATTTAAATGTAAATTGAATTAAAAATATTAAAAAATTTAAGTGGAGGAGGGTCTTATTGTGAGAAGGATTTTATTAAAATTGGAAGATGGATAGAATTGAGTGATGATTTTGAAAAATCTAAAGTAACTTATGAAGGGGAATATAAAAATAATTACAAAGATGGTAGATGGGATATTTGTTATTATGATGGATTTGAAAAGAGATAAGAAAGGATGTAATTATTCAGAAGTTATTCATAGTTGTGAAGGATGGTATAAATATGTAAAATAGCTTGGTTCAATTAAAAGTGGTATATGGGTGGAAATACGTATGAAACAACGTTTTTAAAAATGTGCTATTTTTTAAGGGGAATATCAAGATAATTTAAAAATTGGTTAATGGAAAAAATTCAATAGATATGGCCGAACATTTTAAATGTGGTATTATAATTTATCATTAATTGTCTTAGTGAGAATTTAAATTATGATTTACAAGGAAAGTAAATATATCAGTCTGGAAAGTATTTTTATTTCTTTATTATTAATAGAAATTCTTAAGTTATGTTTGCAGGAGAATTTAGGAATGGAAAAAAAGTAGGTAGATGGGATACTTTTTATACATAATTCATGCATAATCCTTTTAAATTAATGTAAACATAATAAATTTATTGTGTTAGAGGTGGAGGTGAATACGAATAGGTTAATCAAGGTGATTCTCTTAAGATCGGTAAATGGAATGAATTGAGTGATGGATTTTATGGTTAATCATAAATTATATATAATGGAGAATATAAAAATGGAAATAAAGTTGGTAGTTGGGATATTACATTTAGGAAGAAAGAGAATAAAAGTTTTTAATACATGTAAGGGAATTGAGTATTTAATTAAGTGGGGGTGGAAAATATGTGTATATGGAAGAAGTGGGTTCAATTAAAATTGGAAAATGGAGAGAATTGAGTGAAAGATTTTACAATGGATCGTAAGTGATTTAAGTTGGTGATTACATCAACGGCTAAAAAATTGGTAGATGGAATCTAAATTTTAGAAAAGATGAACAAGATAATTTTGAAATAATGTATTCATAAATTTAATTAAATTTAGAGGAGGTGGATTATATGATATAAATAAAGAATTAGGCTCAATTAAAATTGGAAGTTGGATTGAACTGAGTGATGGATTTTATAAAGAGGCACAATTTACTTATAATGGTTCATATTAAAATAACAAAAAATTTGGTAAATGGGATATTATGTATAGGTAGGAGGGGTATTAATTTGAAAAAATGTAAGTAATAAATTAAGAATTTTAGCGGTGGAGGATCATACTCTATTATAAAAGGATTAGATTCAGTTAAAACTGGAAAGTGGGTTGAGTTAAGTGACGGTTTTTTTAGCAAATCTTAAGTAATTTTTTAGGGGGAGTACATGAACGGTGTAAAGTATGGCAAATGGGATATTTTGTTCAGGAATAAAATCAGTGAGCCATTTAATTTAATGTAAGTACATAAAATACTTAAATTTAGTGGAGGAGGTTCATATGATTTTGGAGAAAAATTAGGTTCAATAAAGAATGGAAGATGGGTTGAGTAAACTGATGATTATGGCTATGGAATAGGATTATCTGAAGCCTTTCATATTGGTGAATATAAATAAGGGAAAAAAGTAGGGAGATGGGTGGAATTAAGATTATCAAAAAATAGAGCGGGAGATGGTTTTAAAAAAACCGTCGAAGTTAATTATGACAATTGATAAATATTAATAAATAATATATTCTTATCTTTTTAGAATATACCAGTTCGTATTCTAAATACTTGTAAAACAACTATCCAAGGTTAGATACATTGTCGCAATTGTGATTGTTTTAAATATTCTAAAATACCTAGATGCTAGCTTTATTTTTTACTTAACTATTAATTTCAATTTAAATCTCATAATAAGTTTAAAAAGTTTAATTTTTTTAAAATAGATATTTTATTCGTTAGAGTATTTGTAATTTAATAAAATTCCTCCTAAAAGTATTTATTTATAACAATAGATATATCAATACTAAAGAATTAAGAAATTTAATATAGTTGAATCTTTGAAGATCCTCTTAATTTATCTAATAACAATGTTCTGTTAAGAATTTTTTAATTTATATTTTCCTCTTATCCTTTTAAAAAAATTAATAAAGTCCAAGGTGTTACTTAATCGATTGTAAAAAAATGAATATTCTTTGAAAAATGAAGAGTGAAACAGCATGTCTGTGTAAAACATCTAAGACAAAGAATAATCAATCATTTAAATTTCAAATAAATAAGGTTTTCCTTGTTTAGAATTAGCTTATCTAGGATTATCAATTATAGGAAAAAATTACATTAAATTGGATCTTCAAATATAATTGCGACCTATTTGATGCGAGTTTGCCTTTTGATATCTTTATGTTCGAGATATGACTGAAATTTAATTGAAAGACATCTATAATATGGATTCTATTCCTAATATCAATCAGATAAACTTTATTTAATTAAAAATTTTCCTCTGTTCTCCAAAAAGAATAACAAGATGAATAATATTTTGATTCATTATGATTTTTGATCTCTCTTAAAATTTCTATTGAATTTTAGAGAATCTTCTCTTTATTCTCTATTGGAACGAGTTCATATCAGCATGATTTATATTTTTTTATTTGGTAACTGAAACTTTAAAAAGTACTTTATTATTTTTATTCTTTTAAATTGGGGTGTGAATGTATTAATTTGATTCATTTCCCATTAATCCCTAAATTTTTATGAAATTTATTTTTTGATAGTGATCTGTCCATCATGTTTAAAATTTATATGAATTTCAAAGGATTAGGTTGATGCATAAGGGCCAGATCCGCATACACCGTAGAATATTTTATTTATTGTTATTTCTGAAGGTATTTTTCTTTTTTCTACCAGTCGTTTTGTATTTATTCTTAGCTCATCTTTTTATAACTTCTTATTTTTTTATATTGATTAGGTTAAAATTCTTACTTGGTTTTTTCTTTGATCTCTCTGTGATAAAACTTTATTGATAATTCCATTATATATGGATAATCTAAATTAGTATGCTATGAACCATAGTAAGAGTTATGTCAAGTAAAATACCTATGAATAATTAGTCAAGTACTTCTTTAGCCTCATTGTATATTAAATGAAGGCTTAACTGGAAGTTTGAATATTATTCAAAGTGTTTTCAATGTGAATAATAAAGAAAATAAATAATATATTGTTTATTTCAAGTTGTGGCTTATACGATTTCAAAAATTTATTAAGAAATATGTAAATTTTAATCATTAAAAAGAAGTAATCATAGCAATCGATTATTTAAACCTCAAAATACAATTATATAACAAATATATTTACAGTTTAGATTTTATGTTTGAATAAATTAAAAGAAATAACTTTAATATTTTTAAATGATTAATTAAATTTAAATTAAACTAGTTTGTTTAGAGTAATTCAAGCGGTAATAAGAAATTGGCAAGGTGGATCAAATAAAGATGAAAATTGTCAAGATTAATATGTAACTCACAATAACCTTAGTTGATTGATTGAAGTACTATTATTAAGGAATAATAATAAAAAGGAAATTATAATTTCTAAGTGCTAAAACGAATCAATTGCTAATACTTCTTAAATCAAGAAATTAAAAAAAATGTGGAATGGATTTAATATCTTCGATAGCAAGGTGAATATGGGCAGAATATTAATAAAAATGGTAAGTGAATGGCTATTTGAAATGGGGAAACTCTAATCTAATTTAGTGGATCTAATAAAAATTAGAAATAATTATACATTTTTAGAATAGATTAAAGGAAGGCCTATGGTTATTTGGAGTAAAAATTAATAATATATTGTAGTAAAAAATAAGTAAATCAAAGTGGAGAATATGTTAAAGTTAAAAATAGGTATTTGGAATTATTTCTATATAAAATGAATTTAGTGATGACTATGAAAATGTAGATGGGATATTTTATTTGGAAATATATAAAAGGAAATAATTAAAATAATTAGTGATGAGATTGAAATTTATTATATTAAGTAGTGAATTTAATAGTATATAAAAATTATATATCTTGGGGAATTTATTAATTGTAAAATGGTTGGTAAATTGGTGCAAAAGGCAGAGACTGATAGGGATACAACCTAAAAAGAAACTTTATATGATATATGATTGATAATAATCTAATTTATATTTGCCTAATTTTAAATAATTAAAAAAATTTAGGATTTAACCCAATCTATTTGAAATTCTCTTTTGAATACTCTTTCATTAGTTAATCTTTTTAGTCAAATTAGTGAAGAATGAACTTTTCTTAGATTATTAACTCAATGGTCTAAGAATAACATTATAATAAAAAAAATACCTAAAGTTAACTAAAAGCACCTTTGAATCTATGAATAATCAAATTTATGATGATATTATATTTATGCAAATACAAAAGGTAAAATTAGAAAAGATGTTCAGAAATTGTTGAAGTACATAAACATCATATTAATATTATATCATCTATATGAAAATTATATTAATTAATAATTACTTTAAGGGAAAATAATAATTTAATTGGAATCTAGCATTTTGTAATTCAAGATTAAAAACAAAATATTTGTTATCGCCTTAGAGTAACCAAAATAATAATATATTAGATTTTATTAATGACTGTACTTTAAAATACTCCAAAATTTAAAATAATGATGGAAAATCAATGAAAAGCAATGATTAAGAAAAACATTCTGTAAATTTGAGAAAAAAACTTAATTGATTACACCTATTAATTAATGATTAATTTGAAAAATATTATCTTCATATAAATAATTTATAAATTTTTATTTAAATTTAAAATAAATTATGATTAATTCATTAAATTAAACAACATCTTGATACTGTTACTACTTAAGAAATTGATGTTGGATTTTGTTGTTGTAAGATTTGAGTTTAAGTTTTGTTATTTTTCTCCACAGCATCTATAAATATTTCTCTTATTTTTTTATCATAAGTTTCTATTATAGTTGATGAGTAATCTTCTAAATATTTTAAAATGACTAAAGCATCATTAGTACCATTTTTCCAATACACATTATTTTCATCTTCTTATATTTCTGATTTGCTCAGTTTATTTACAAATTCTTCAAATTATTTATTGTTTTTGCTTTCTAAATCTAATTACTGTTTCTTTGCAAGTTCAATTGCTGCTATTTTTACTTCATTTTCTAAATCTACAGGGCTAATTATATTAAAACATTTTAAGATGTTAGTTAATTTATTAAGTCTGACCTTAAATTTATTTTCTTTTTTTTATTCAATTGCATAATCGAGTGCTTCATTTATAAGTTCAAATGCTTCTCCACCTATTGGTATAACACCTACAACTTTTGATCCTACATTAAAGACTTTTTACACTATATTTAGTACTTTTTCTGATTTGCTTTCGATCATAGCATCTCTGTTCATTTAATATAATTCTGAAGATATTTGTTGCATTGCAGACAAGTAATAATATAATTTCCAAAATAATGCTTTATAGTAAATAAATTAATGTTTGTTTTCAGCTTTTTGAAGTATTATCATAGATTCTTATATTTGATACCCATCCTATTATTTTAATTTGTGATTATCTTCTTCTAAATGATTTATTCTATCATTTTATTCATTTATTATTTAATGTAGTTAAGCTACTTTTTGCTACAATTATTTCAAGTCTTCTTATGCCAATTATAAGAAATTTAACTATTATTGATTTTCTTCTTGAATTGCTGATTCTGTCAATGGTTTCAATTATTTTGTAAGTTTTCTCTCAATGTTACTTATGTTCTCCTATACTTCAAATACAGTTTATTAATCTGAATCAAATTTAGTTGTTATTGTTGAAAGCTATTATCTTAATTAAGCAATATCATTTTAAATCTCTAAAAGAACTTTGATTTTTTCTTTTATGAATAAAATATTTCCTTCTGATAAACTCCAATTGATTTGCTTTTGTGGAGTAATTAAATCTAAAGAAGCAAGTGCTTTTTTATAATAATCCGCTGAAAGAATGTAATTTTATTCTGAATAATAAAGATCTCCTAAATTGGCCAGTATAAGTGGATTATCAGATTAAAAGGTTAATGCTTTAAGATAATCAGGAAGTGCTAAGTCATTTTAATTATTTTCTTTATATAGGTTTCCTAATGAATATAATACAAAAATGATTACCTTTGTTATTATAAACGTTAGAGTCAGTAGAATCTAATTCAATTGCTTTGTTATAATCCAAAAGTGCCTATTATTTATTTCCGATCTGTTTATAAAGGGCACCTATTCAAATTTTTCAAATTGATTACCTCTAGTATTATAAGAGTTAGCATCATTAGGATCTAATTGAATAGCTCTATTATAATCTAATAAGGCTTAGTCTATTTTTCCAAGTTCTTTTTATAGAATTCCTCTTAATAAAATATAATAATTACCTCTGTTGCAATAAGATTTTGCATCATTAGGATCTAATTCAATAGCTTTGTTATAATCGAAGAGAGCCTACTCTTTATTTCCCATTTCATCAGAAAGAACTCCTTTTCAATATCAGTTATTAATAACCTCTGTTAATATAAGCTGAACAACAATTCTCGTCTATTTCTATTGCCTTATTATAGTACTACAATGCTTCGTCTTAATTTCCCATTGCAGCTTTAATACTTCCTTAATATATTTAAAGTTTCTTTACCTATTCTCATATATGGCATTGCATATTTAGGATTAATCTTTATTGCATTTTCACAATCTGTCAATGCTTCTATTAACATTCTCTTTCTAAAAAATCCAGTTGCTAATAATAAATTAAAACATATTTTACCTCTATAATAAAGAATTTCTTCATTCTAAGGTTCTAATTGAACAGCCTAATTTAAATCCTCTAAAGCTTGATCATACAGATAATTTTTTAAAAATAATTATCCTAAAGTAATTATGATTACAATAACCTCTTAGTGCTAAAGCTTTTGAATTTTATGGATAGAGAATCAAAGCATCATTTATCAATCTTAAGGCCTCCTGAATCTTTTAATCTTTAAGTTTAACCTAATCTATGAAATCAATTAATTTACCTAACTAGCCGAATACAATTCTTCAGCTTGAAGATAGTTTTAGTTTTATTCCTATTAATATTTTGATTCTTAAAAAGACTTATTTTACATATATGAATAATTTGAATAAGAATATGAAATGATTTTTAATAATAAGGCTTAATTATTACTGATTAAATTCGAACAATAGAAACTATAAATAAATATAATTCTGTTATTAAACAACTTGAATAAATTATAACTATAAATTAAAATATAAATCTAGTTTTTAAAAATATTTTAAGTCTTTATTAAAAATAAATAGATTCTCAAATTTAAAACTTGTTTGGAATAAAAATAATTATGTCCAATATCCTTTAATTAAAGAAAGATCAATATTAACATTTTTCTAAAATTATATTTATTATTTAAAGAAAATAAACTTATTACATCGATTTTAGTTTTGCTACTTAAAATTAAATTTATATTTATTCTGTCAAGAAAAAAAAATTAATTTTAATACTTTTGTTTTTATATATGTATCAATTTGATATCAAAAATATTCATTTTATTTAATTAGATAATAATTAAAATCTTCACTATGCACAATAGTTTCAGCATATACATCTAAAGTTTTAAAAAAAATTTTCATTAAATTTTTATTTAATTCAGAATTAATAACCCTAATTCCAACTTAATGGCTTTAAGGTTTAAAAAAGCATTAAATTACAACTGCATATAAAACTAAAATTGGTATGAATGTTTTTAATTCTTATTTCAAAAATATTTCATTTTTAGTAATAGCAATTAAGAATTAAAATTATAAACTAATTATGATGATTGAAGATAACAATAGATGATTTATCATAATAAAATTAAAGATCATTCATGTTGTAAATTAGATTTGATATAAATAAGAAATGATAAAAGTTGAAAAAAAAAAAAAACAGCACAAGTAGAAAAAATAATCTTC